CCGCCGTGGGCGCGCGGTATCTGCAGATTGTGCAGGAGAGATCCGGAGTTGCACACTCTTGTTTATCTACTCTTGGTAGTACTGTATGTAGTACTGTATGTAGTACTGTATGTAGTACTGTATGTAGTACTGTATGTAGTACTGTATGTAGTACTGTATGTAGTACTGTATGTAGTACTGTATGTAGTACTGTATGACAATACTGGAGTTGACGTCAGGGTAGGCACGCGTTTTCTTAGCTGTAGTTTTCGGTGGATTTTTCGGTAGTTTTTCCAGCTTCGGCGCGCCTCTCCGGCAAACCAGCTGATGCAGAGTGCCACTTGTTGCCGGTGCAATGGCAACGGCACCTGCGTCCGATGCGAGTGCCACAAGGAGGGTCGAGGATGCAGGAATTGCCTCCCCTCAAGGAAAAACCGATGCCGGAACGGCAACAGCCAACCGTCATCCCAACAACAACCGCCCACAGCGTCAGGGACCCGTACCGTACCGACGTTCGAGCCAGCTCCTGCGGCCCAACTGCCATCCACGGGAGCCCGCACAGCAAGCGAGGCGGCAGTAGGTCAAACTGGTGCTAGTATGCATGCTGACGATGTCATACAGCGTGATGTGACAACGAGGCCGGCTACCACAACTGAGACCCCAGATCAGAGTCACTCGCCCGTTTCTAGCTCGCAACAGGTAGCGTGGGACCTGCTCGAGGCTGCGGACCCTGGAACGACCTGTACCAGGTGTCCGGACCTAGTGACCTCCGCGACAGTGGAGGATATATCAGTGTCCGACAGTCAAGTGCAACTGCTTGCCTCCCTGGACGAAAATCTGGAGACGGAACAGTCGACTTCTCAACCACACACACACCATTCACCGACACCTGTCCAGCATCCTACCGCCCCACTCACGGCCAGCCTAGAGGGTGTCGAAGACCCCAGCGACACAGGTACCACTCACGCACTGCCTCCGTACCAAGCAGCATGTCATGACCTTCGGATAGGTAGCTGGAGCGCGCAGGAAACTCATCAGATCATTACATCTGCCTACTCGGAGACAGTCCACTTTCGGCCCAACCTCTTTCCAGTGCCCTCAGGATCCGTTGGCTCACGGTTTGTCCGCACACTCACTCTGTACTACAAGATATTCGGTGACAAGGCAGCAGGTGAAGGATTAGCGTTGAAAGCAGCCATGACAGTCACACAGTTAACCCTGCAGCAACCACATCGAGTCCTCGACCGACAAGCACATGTCGAATGCCTCCGAAGACGACTCACCCTCTGGGAAGAAGGCGACATTGATGCACTGATGATGGAAGCCAGAACAATTCAACGGCAGCTAGTGGCGGCCACAAAGGGGTCAAAGTCCAGCAAACAATCAGAGGACGATGCTCGAAGATTCGCCAACCTAGTACACACGGGTAAGACTGGTGCAGCTATGCGCATGCTGAAAGAGACACCCGACAGTGGCCCCATGCGTCTGGATGATAAAGTTGGCAATCAAACTGTCCGTGACATCCTAAAGGACAAACATCCTGCCGCTCAGCCAGTCGACCTGTCAGCTGTGATGGACGGACCAGTGCCCCCCACACCTCACCACATTATGTTCGCTGCCCTGGATCGAACTATGATCCGGAAGGCTGCCCTGCAGACAGAAGGAGCTGCTGGCCCATCAGGCATGGACGCATCTGGGTGGCGACGAATGTGCTCAGCTTTCGGCCAAAACTCAGACCAGCTCTGCGATGCCGTAGCATCATGTGCAAGAAGACTCGCAACCTCCGCGGTGGACCCGGCTGCACTGGAAGCCTATGTGGCGTGCCGACTCATGGCGCTCGACAAGCAGCCAGGCGTCAGACCCATTGGGATCGGCGAGGTCGTTCGAAGGATAGTTGGAAAAGCCATTCTCTACATCACCGGGCCTGCAGTTGAAGCCGCGACCGGTTGCACCCAGCTGTGCGCAGGCCAGGAAGGAGGCATCGAAGCAGCCATACACGCCATGCGCACTGCCTTCGCCGACGAGGCAACAGAGGGTGCCTTGTTTGCCGACGCTTCCAATGCATTTAATCGCATCAACCGGGACGTATGCCTGCGCAATGTCCAATGCCTGTGTCCCGAGCTGGCGACAACTCTTGTTAACACATACCGAAGCCCTGCCCAGCTATTTGTGGATGGCGAGACAGTGTGGTCTTGTGAGGGCACCACCCAAGGGGACCCGCTCGCCATGGCCATGTACGCTATCGCCACAATCCCCCTCATTGAAGAATGCCGTAGCAGTGGAGCCACCCAGAGTTGGTACGCCGATGACGCTACAGCAGCGTCAACACTGCTGCCACTTCGCCACTGGTGGGACATCCTATCGCAGCGCGGTGAGGCCTATGGATACTTCCTCAACCCGGAGAAATCCGTACTACTAGTGAAGCCTGCACATCTCGAGCGTGCCACTGAATTGTTCGCTGACACACGTATCCAAGTCCGCTCAGATGGGTACCGACATCTAGGTGCAGCACTCGGCACCCCGGAATTTGTAGCGGCTTATGTCACGGGCAAGGTGAACACATGGTGCAAGGAGGTTGACAAGCTGTCTACATTTGCCCACTCCCAGCCGCATGCAGCGTATTCCACCTTTACGCACGGTCTACGGCATCGCTGGGCATTTGTGGCCAGGACAGTACCCAACACAGCTACCCTGCTGGAGCCCTTGGAGCAGGCGGTTGTACACCTGCTACTCCCAGCCCTCCTCGGTCGCCCCTCTCCAGGCTCTGCCGAACGGAAGATCCTGGCTCTACCATGTCGCTTGGGTGGCCTGGGACTAATCATCGTCTCTTCGTTAGCAGAACAGTTCCTTTCATCCTGCCACATCACCCAAACGCTGGTTGAGGGAATCCTCTCTGGCATGTCCTACCTGCCCGACGTCACGCAGCTTACGCTGCACAGGAAGTCCGAAGTCCGCAGCCGACAGCGGAATAAGGAGTCAACCATCGCCAAGGATGTCGTCTCAGCCGCTTCACAGGAATTGCAGCGTTGTGTGGAGCTTGCTTCGCTGAAGGGGGCCTCCAATTGGCTCACGTGCCGGCCACTGAAAGTCCACGGCTTTTCCCTCAGCAAGGCTGGCTTTCGCGACGCCATCCATGTTCGCTATGGCTGGGTCCCTCCAATGCTGCCGTCCGCCTGCGTCTGTGGTCAGGCATTCAGCACCGCGCATGCCCTGTCGTGCCCTATTGGAGGGTATCCGTCACTCCGGCATAACGAGCTGCGAGACATCACCGCCTCACTGCTTTCACGCGTCGCACATGACGTAAGTGTGGAGCCGTCTCTCCAGCCCCTTTCCGGGGAACGGATGAGGTATCGTACTGCAATCAGCGAGGATGGCGCCCGCCTAGATGTTGCTGCCAGCGGGGTGTGGGGCGGCCGTTTCGAGAGGACATTCTTTGATGTCCGGGTATTTAACCCTTTTGTCCGATCGAACACCGCTCCCTCCCTCAACAGCACGTTCACTAAGCACGAGAAGGAGAAACGGCGACACTATGAAGAGCGTGTTAGGGAAGTAGAGAAGGCATCGTTCGTCCCCTTGGTGTTTTGTGCCTCCGGTGGTCAAGGCAAGGCTGCCTCTGCTTTCCTCAAGCGCATTGCATCAATGCTGGCCGAGAAGCGGAAGGAACCGTTCTCCATGGTGATGGCTCACCTTCGTTGCCGCCTAGGGTTTGCCCTCATCAGATCGGCGATTGCAAGCTTAAGAGGTCATCGATCCAGGCGAGCACCTTTGGATCAGCAGCTGGAGTGCCCCTCAGCTCTAGTGAATGCTGAGTGTCGTCTGGGTTAACCCTCACCTCTTGTTATATGGCTGTATTGTTTTCGCTATTAGTTAGTTTTCTTTGTTATGATTTCTTTTTTTCTTTTTCTTTTTACCAGGCGTGGGCCATCCCCTGAATTCATAGGTGCCAAACATTCTTTTTCTTTAGTTTTCTTTGTAAATATGATTTCTTTTTCTTTTTACCAGGCGTGGGCCATCCCCTGAATTCATAGGTGCCAGACATTCTTTTTTCTTTCTTTTTCTTTTTACCAGGCGTGGGCCATCCCCTGAATTCATAGGTGCCAACTCTTTTTAATATGTGAGTAGTACAAAAAAAAAAAAAAAAAAAAATGTAGTACTGTATGTAGTACTGTATGTAGTACTGTATGTAGTACTGTATGTAGTACTGTATGTAGTACTGTATGTAGTACTGTATGTAGTACTGTATGTAGTACTGTATGTAGTACTGTATGTTTTTCATATACATGTACTGTAAAAGTAGAAATTTTCGGTGTGCAATATTTTCGGAATTCGCCAAAATTGGCGGGTCGGTGGAGGGAATTTTTCGCTAAAATCCGTTTTCCAGGTAAGTGTACTAGTACTACATGTATACAATACCGGTTGTACCGAAAATTTCGGTGCGTTTTATTTTCGGTAAAAATTGTCGGCACCAAAGTTACCGGAAATAAAACACATCACGGAAAAAATCAGCTTTAACAATACACAGTATAGGTGGTGTAGTGGTTATGAACAGTGTTTAGTCATAACGTGTCCTGATAAGACTAGTTGGTATGAACAGTGTTTAGTCGTAACGTGTCCTGATAAGACTAGTGGTTATGAACAGTGTTTAGTCGTAACCAGTCCTGATAAGATTAGTGGTTATGAACAGTGTTTAGTCGTAACGTGTCCTGATAAGACTAGTCATACTGTCATACAAGGATTAACACAAGACCGGGATTGCGGCTGAGGTCACTAAGCATCGTGCAACTAACAAACCTCCAAGGCGCATGCGCGAACAAACACGCACATTACACACACACCACACAAACATGCACGCACACACACACACACACGTTCACACACACACACACACGTTCACACACACACACACGTTCACACACACACACACACACACACACACACACATGTACATGTACAACTCCAGGTAGCCGTGATCTCGTACTCTCCTGTAAACCGCCTAGGTTCAGTTCAAACTTGAACCTAGCATAGTCTGAGAGCAGAAAGAGTATTTGGAATATCTGAGAGTTCAAATTTTACCAGTAATAATCTTTCCAGATACAAAACACCAAAGCTGAGGCAACAGCAACATTGTCACGTGTACGGAAACAAGAAAAAGCCTGAAACAAATACAAAGAATGGCACGGTCAATTGTACACGATAGTCAGCCAGCGCTGCACACTAAGAAATTTAGCTAGAGGGAAAACAGTTTCAAACAACTAGTAAAACTGGCTAAGTTCACGGTGCAGGCTGGTGGAGGACAACGATCAGCTATGATGTAATTAATTTGTTTACCAGAAGACAACGACAATGAAAATTTTTCACGAAATTTCCTTGTATTTGTAAAGAGCATGGCAAATAGAATGTATGGAACACATCCATCAGATATTGCGAGAACCAAGAAGCAAATTATCAACGAGAAGTCCGTTTACTAATTTCCTAAAATGCCATGCATCTAAACACAGACGTGCGCGCACGCACACACACACACACACACGAGTGGTAGACGTCACCCATCGTGGCTATGCAGACTAGGCTTGCCCGTCACAGCTGCTTTCACACTTCTTCAGTCTTCATGACAATTGTTCATGGAGACGAAACACAAGAGACGAGAACACAACAGCGTCCAGTTAATTTCAGCAAGTGAAAGAACAACAGGAATTACCACATTATGGTGAAAAAAGGACAACAAAATGTTACGAGTTATGACTAACTGTTCCAAGTGAATACCACATTTTAATACTTTGAAAAATCAATCTTGATCACAGGATGAAAAAATCAATCTTGATCACAGGATGAAAAAATCAATCTTGATCACAGGATGAAAAATACAGTGTTGACGACTATGATGACAGCGATGACGACAATGCCAAGAACAACATCGTTTGAGATGTGTTCTCTGTTGAAAGTCAACTATAATCACTCAACAGTTTATCCCTTACCAACGTCTAATGACAACACTATCTTCTCAATTTTTTTCTTTGCCTGGACACATAACAAAACACATAGTCAGTTCAATGAGTGCACAGGGTTGACAGCCTACACTATCGACTACACTGCTGACTACACTGCCCACTGTTATCTGATAGGCTACAAATGAATGAGGGGAATCAACAGAATGGTTTGCCAGATTCACACACATCACTGACAAAGACACCACACAGATCTGAACGTTAACATACGTGTACGCACACACTAGCAATAGAGAGAACAAGATACACAAGACAAGAAATTGGAAAACGAAAAAAATGAGAGTTTTTCGTTGGAGGAAACTGTAGCTATCACCAACACTCACATACCCCCATACCCTAAACACTCTCACAGCCCCCCCCCCCCCCACACACACACACCTACACCCTCACAGACTCCAACCCCTTACGCCATCACAGCTCCCCCCCCCCCCCCCCCACCTACAACCTTCACACCATTCCAGCCCCCACCACTACAACCACCACACCGTCCAAGCCAAGCCCCCCCCCTCCCCTGCCGTCCTCCCCCGCCGTCCTACACATCCTTAACCCCCCCCCCCTGCCCATACACAACCTCAGAGCCCCCCCCCCCCCCCCCGGCCCTGGCACCCTACACATCCTCAAAGCCCACCCCCCCCCCCCCCTGGCCCGTACACATCCCCCTGCCCCACGCATCCTCATAGCCACCCTCCCCTGCCCCTACACACCCTCACAGCCCCCCCCCCCCCCCCACACACAGGGTGGTGGCGTTGCTGCGGATGCGGAAAACTCAGCCTCCAGCCGAGGATCACGCAAACCGTGAATTTGTTTCCGTAAACATGTTGAAGCGTGGCAAGCGCAAGCTGAGTAATGAATATCCTTGCAAAGTGAGTGCTTGCCATGTTACGACTTCAGACATCACAAAAAATTCTGTCCTGGGTACAAGTCACATCTATCTTGCAGTACAAATTCAGGGAGCGAAGTGCATGTGTGTGTCAAAACCGACAACACACGTCAGTACACGTTAGCACGCAAAACACTGACAAGTACAGAAAATCAAAAGCCCGAGTACGCAAAACAGACCCAGCTGGTTGGCAGCTCTAGTTTCGTGCCAGTCGATGATTCAGCCATACTCCACCATTGTACACTCTACACACTACATACATACTCACTCATGAACTACAAAATAAACACATACCTTGTCAGCTTCATGCTGTGTGAGAAGCTGCACACATTCATCATTACCATAGAACTTTGCTACGTCCAATGCTGTGCAACCAACCTGAGTAGCACAACAACACATCACAAGCACAACAACAACAACAGATATACTCATTCAAAAAACGAAGAAATTTACAATCTCACGAAAATGAACAATGCAGCACAACAAGCACATTATCGACGATGAGAACTAGCCAATGACCTCTTGAAATAACTCACATGACAAACAACATCTTCCTCATTGACATCCCTGTCCTAGAACTGTATTCAAGCACTTCAATTCATTTCACTCTTCGAAAAATTTCAAAAAATGTAAAAGGAAACTATGAGGAGAAGGTAAAGACATGATCATCACAGCTCTTCGTCAGGAACAACTGCATGTCTTCCTTGTACTCGTTACAATAACAACAACTCATCACTCCTTACTCGTTCCAACAAACACAATCAAACACTCACTCCATTCAGAGAGAGAGAGAGAAAGAGAGTGAGAGAGAGAGAGAGAGAGAGAGAGAGAGAGAGAGAGAGAGAGAGAGAGAGAGAGAGAGAGAGAGAGAGAAAGAGAGAGAGAGAGAGAGAGAGATAGAGATAGAGAGAGAGAGAGAGAAAAAAAGAGAGAAAGAGAGAGAGAGACAGAGAGTGAGAGAGAGAGAGAGGCAGGACAGTTGAGAAGGACGAGTAGAAACTGTTCACTTCACAACAACACACAATCAAAACTTACCCAGTCAAGCAGTGCAGTATCCGAGGTGACACCGTCACTGTCATGTGACAGTATCACCTTGACAACATTGATCTTCTTTTCGAAGACTGCATCGTGCAGTGGAGTCTGTCGGAACTGTAGAGAAAGAGAGAATGTGATGAGTATTGCTATACAACCATTACACTAACTACTACAACCACACACCGACACAGACCTGGACAACTAGAACAACCACAACAATGCACGTGCACACATGAACACACATGCAGGACCACAGGCACATGAAAAAACATGAAGAATTACAAGTCATTGTGTGCACATGTGAGTCCACACCCATGGACACACATGCACACACATACACATACACACACCTGCGCACAAGAACACACGTGAGCCTACAAGATAACACAGGTTGTACAATGAAAATGTCGTTTCTGATGAACAGATGAGAGTGCAAACATGAACACACGTGGACACAAGGACATACGAGTACGAACGATGAACAGATTGTCTTACAGAAGACATACACACAGACATGTAAGAACTTACAAACTGATATTTCAGTTGAGACAACCAGACTCTAGAGTAACACTATTTCTTACCAAGCTCTCCTGTGCGTTGAGGCAAGCGCCGCGTTCGATGAGCAGTTTTGCTAAACGTGCATTGCCTGTCAATGCACAATGGTGCAAGAGTGTCCTGTTGTTCTGAACACACATACACACACAGACACACACACAGGCACCACATGCGCACCCACACACACATACAAACACACGCACACACACACACACGTACCCACACACAAACACACAGATGAACATGCAGTACATATACACAGGCCAGACACACCAACCAGGAAACAGACGTACACACAGAGACAGCAGCAAAGACGTACACATGCCAGTGAACCAGCACAGTATACTGAACACAGACAATATCTCTTGTCACAATCCAAAACACAACAACTTACGTCGGTCTTATCTTCTTCGTTGACATCAACTGACTTGAAGTGAAGAATATAGTCGACAAGACCTTGCATCATTTCATCACCCAAATGTTCACCACAATAGCAGAGAACAGCTATCATCGTGACCTATGTGATATACAAAAACAGAAGAAACAATTTGACAATTACAACAATGACAGCAACAATACTCTCAGTACAATGCCATTAGGAGTTAGGAAACCTATTGATTGACCTCAGAGGTCAAAACCAGTCAAATTGTCATAACTTTATTCCAACTTGAGAGAAGCTTGCAGCAATTGCACATCTTGTAATGTTATGTCACAGAAACAATTTCCACTGATCATCAGTCACTTGACAATGGTACAGACAAGAAGAAGACGGCGTGTCACCACTTGAACATGCATATACACATACGGGTACGTGATCACACACACACACGTACACACGGACACGCGCACGTGCACACACACACAGGTGCCTGCACCTACACAGACAGACAGATAGACACACACACATACACACACACACACACACACACACACACACACACACACACACCTACACACACACACACGCACATAAACACACATTACATCAACACTCTACTTACTCCTAGTGTGTAGGAGCATTTGCCTTCATGACCAGGTGGTGACAATGTAACTTTCTCTGCTCCAGTACTGTGCAGGAGATGAAGGACGTTGAACACCAACGCCCATATCTCATACATCGCTCGTCCTTTCTCAGAAACTGCATCAGCAAATTTCTTCACAGTTTCTTCAAGATCTGTACCGTACAAACAGACACAACATACGAATGATATTTTCACCTCTTCACTTTTGTTGGCACATGCACAGACACACGGTATGACGTCATAGTGATCACCCTTATTTGGACAGTGGCAAGTAATGACATTTGTCGCCACAGAGTACAGCGTGGTACAGGTATCCTAGCAACCATCATTCACAAACAAACGTCACAATAACCGTACATACAGCTATATATGGTTGTCAGTGACTGTAGCTGAAAGAGGTGAAGACGATCAATGAACGACATCACGGGGCGTCTTCACAACACACTGCAACACATGCAATTTACGTTCTTGAACAAAATTACAGAAACGACCGACAAATGTTACACCTCATTGCTACCACTGCCTACCACAACTCTCGACGAAAGAAAACTACTCCACGCCTCAACAAACAATCAATTTAGGTCACTGAATGGCCGTCACTTTGTGACACGAGACGAGGACAGAGACGAAGGTTCACGACAAACGGCATTCAAAAACAAAGGAAATGAACGACGGCAAAGCGTAGCTATTGGGAAGAAACCTGTTTTTACTCACAGTCTAGGATGGTCCCCTTCCGTCTCGCTTCCATTGATCCAAAGAAACACTACGAACTACTCCCACTCGACTAACTGAATTGCTGGAAATATTTCAATTGAAACTTTACACGACGAGGAAGGGCACTGCTGAAGTAAAACATCAACATGCAAATACTCTAGTCCAGTACCTATGGCTGAGTTTCAAAACCTCCTCCTGATGTTCCTTGGACATGAACAAGACTACTAATGAACTTCAAGGAACGGACGAAAGTCTTGACGAGCAACCAGAAAGTATTCAGCAGCGCGACGGGAAAATGTGAGGGATCAACTGACTGAACCTTTGAACTCTGACCTCTAGTTTGCTAGCGCTCTGTTGATGTATGGAACATTACAGACAGCAGTAGACTGTTCATAGTCTGATACAAAATGTATTACTGTGGATGACTGTAATCGGTACTAACTCTTTCTAGTGCAGTGTTCGCTAGGTACACAGCCTAGCCTACGTAGATCTACGTACACGCGTGTAATTGTTACGTCATAGATAAACGTCGATTTTGATACAACAATATACTGTAAATATACAAAATTTCGGCGCTGCAAAATTTCGGCACTTCACGATTTTTGACATTTCGGCGGCGATTTATTTTCGGCGTGGGGTAGAGGGCATAGTGTATACATGTATAGTGCGACAGATGCTGTGAAAATTTTCATCGGCGTTTTAATTTAGGCGTTTTGGGTCGGTGCCGAATATAGCCGAAATTAAATAGCTGCCGAAAATTTGTATATTTACAGTACACCAAGGACTCTACTTGTAGTCTAGCGACGTCTCACTCTCAGACATCAGAGTCATTGCTGCGTAGCATCTGTGTCTGCGCATAGCACTGGTGAGTAGATCTACTGGGGACTAGACCAGAGACACCACACAACACTCTACAGACCCGAAACAAAGTGCAAATTTGGAATCAACTAAGTGATCAGTACAGGGGCCTATGCAATGCACGGCCGGCCGGTCGAGATGACGACATGATCTGCTGACCCCAAAAACGGTCATACTGTGATCAACCAAGCCATGTGCAAGGGCACAGAAATCTCCACTGCCCAAACCAGTGGAATACAAATGCGACTATGTACCTGGTCTACATGTGGCATACAGTAGGCAAACTCACATTCATTCATACTCTCCTACGTGATCCACAATAGCTGACCTACTTTCTTGTCATGCTACTAGTAGTGCGACCACCACCCACTGCGTTACATCATGCTACACTGTAGTATGTTCTGGTGGGCCTAAACTGAATCCTATGCCAGAGCGCTTCTATCGCCAAAACAGTCTGACAATCAGCACAATTCACTCCATATTATTGAATACGACAGCGTTGCTCAATGAAATCCATTCGCCTCACTCAAGTACGCGCCGGACTTTCCGCAGCCCTAGACCTGCTAACACAGGGCTGGGAAATAATGCAAGGTGCAAACTTGAGTGACGTGACTGGATTTCATTGAGCAGCACTGTACGTGGAGTACTAGATACTTTTGACGTGGCATTCTCTTGAATTCTCTATAAGCAAGTTATACCGAAGGATGTACCCAGAGTGCTTGTGTTGCCTGATGATTGCGTAAGCATGAAACTTAAAGTAGCAGCAAACAAGCCTTGATTGTCCTTGTTGTTCTGTTGTATAAGCAAGTTATAAATATCTACCGCACACATCTCACATGCCTACTAGTGTGTGTTCAGACAATATCCAGTAGACGGTGGGAGAGAGAAAGAGCCACACGTCCATTCAGATGAGAAGTGATCTTTTCAACGCACTAAATGTCACCCATCACACACACACACACACACACACACACACACACACACACACACACACACACACACACACACACACACACACACACACACACACACACACACACACACACACACACACACACACACACACACACACACACACACACACACACACACACACACACACATGACATCACGCACACATACACGCGTACACGCCGGCACGCGTACTTACCTCGATGCGTTTTTGGAGCAGGAGCTGATGGCGTAGTTTGAGCGGCAGCGGCAGCGGCAGGTTGGGTTTGTGTGGCGTCGGTAGCACTAGCTTCTCGTGTCATTTCGCGTCCGTCACAGGACACGACAACATCATTTGAATGCAATGAGGAATGGAACCTGTACGGCATCTTGGCACAAGTCTTTAGTCTTAGGAAAAGCAAAGAATCAGTAGACAGTATGGATTGTACTACAGTGAATCTCAGAGAGACAGTGGAGGAACGACAGCATCTAATGTATGTGATTGAACAAGCGCAGCGTCTCCGCGGCACTTTATTCCACGCATGCGCCTAGTAGTCGCTCTAACGTGGCATAAGCATTCAGCTTAGACACTGCAACTGGTTGGTTGCTAGGAGGTACGTTGCGGATTGGTTGAATTTGAATAGGTTCGTTCTTTGGATTGTTCTTGACAACACGGTGTTGTGACAGGCTTGTGGCTGTGCAGAAAATGGATGGCTTGTACGACTAGCCGGAGTGGACTCTCTGCGTAGAGCAGCGACCTGACAAATCACATGATATGAACAGGTCGACATACAATTGTGCGAAGCCCATCCAGTCTCCGATTATCCTGGCACGTGATTCAAGGATCTTCCATCCCGCGCTGTGTCTGTGGTGACACCAAGAATCTACGTCATGCATAATCCTTGGAGAGCGCACCACATACAGTCCATGCGCCAAGACCGAAAAAGTCGTCTAAAAGTTGTACTTTTTATGCAGATTAGCCACTTTTCCGAGCTGAATATATTCAAATCTTCGTTGAAAAATTGTCAAGAAAATGTTAGATGTCTCGAGTCGTTTGCAATTTTCTCTCCATCAGTGCTCGTTTGCGGAAGTTTTGCTTTCCGGACACCTTGATTGGGCCTTTGACCTTATGGATGTCAGTTGTAGTGGTCGTTACTCATTGTCTCGACGTCGCTGGGAGTGTTCTTGGGGGAGCTGTCAAATATTCGTGAAAATCAGGCAAGTGGCAAAGAAAAATTCGCCAAATTTTTGGGCAAGGTAGTATGTAGATATCAATGCTTTCCTTTGACTCTCCACCGATGTGGAAACACTTCCAGAAGCGTTCATCGGTGTCCGGTTCTTGATGGGGTCGTGGTGGCCTCCACCGTTTGGAACAAAACAAAACCAATGCATTGTCTGTCGTCACCAGTAGGAGACGTATTACATGGCAAAGAAACACACCAGCACCCGTATTCACTCTTGAGGGGCCTGAGATAGAAGCCCACATCATCTTCGTTCAAATGACAAAGTTCTAACCAGGGTCTGCAGACCGCAATTTCAACGTCATTTTTGGTCCCTTGAAAAATGGCCTAGTCAATAGCCTATAGGTAGTTTATGCAGCATTGGCGTGTTCTTCGGGGTTGCAATCATGTTATATTCATCATGAACTTCTCTTGCAAGCTTCGTGCCAAACTGAAAGTTGTAATGTACTCTCAGGACAGCTTGAAGTAAGTTTCAATTCTCAGTGAAGTGCAAAGGTCTGAGTGGAACGAACTTTAAGCCGTGATCGTGAATGTCAATGGGAATATGAGCCAAGAGTCCACAACCCCAAGGGAAAGGTGTGATGGACTCTTAGTATGATCTGTGCACAAAGAACTGCAGTTGAGTCATTGTTTTAGCAACATGGCTGCGTTCTGAGTTTTAGCACATTCTTAGACTCTTATTGTACTGGAGTGTGCACTTTATAACACGTGTACATGTATAACAAAAGCTGAATTACAGAACGGTAGAAAATGATATGTCCCATTCTCAGCTTTGGTTTCTGGCGTTCTTTTAATTATTAGTATTTCGGGCTGCGTGTTCTTGGGCTCCGTGTTCTGTAAAGCGGAAGTTAAGCCTAAAATCAAATTTTCACCAGTTGTAATCTTCGGGGTGCTGAGTCGGATGGTCTCTGTCCAAGAAAGCTGAGACGCTCCCTTCCTCCTTTATTCCCAATCGAACTTGCGCACTTCCACCGAAATTGGGTGACTGCGCCCTACTAGATGAGGATTTGTATGCAAAATGTCACCAAAAGCGCCATTTCGTTCTTATAAAAGCACGGATGACCGCGATTGGCTCATAATTATGTTGTAGTCTTTTGGACGCTGAGTCGACTGGTTTTGGTCCGAAAAGGCTGCGATGTAGCGTTCGGCCCTTATTCCCAATCGAACATGGCTGAACAAGCGGTCACGTGCTCCTGCGTACACAAGTTACTTGGTCACCGCGCCAGCAGGCTACAACTTTCACACCAAGGTTCAAAGGTTCAACTCGAGTGATAGAAACTCGCTCAAACATGCTGTAAGTTGGAATAAGGGCCGAATGCTACATCACAGCCTTTTCGGACCAAAACCAGTCGACTCAGCGTCCAAAAGACTACTAGTACAACATATGGGCCAATCGCGGTCATCCGTGCTTTTATAAGAACAAAATGGCGCTTTTGGTGACATTTTGCATACAAATTCCCATCTAGTAGGGCGCAGTCACCCAATTTCGGTGGAAGTGCGCGAGTTCGATTGGGAATAAAGGAGGAAGGGAGCGTCTCAGCTTCCTTGGACAGAGACCATTGGACTCAGCACCCCGAAGACTACAACTGGTGAAAATTTGATTCCAGGCTTAAATTCCCCTTTAAAGCGAGGCTCTACTGTACATGTACATGTAATGTAAAGAACTAACTTGGTGTGCCCCCGTCAATTTCTACCTGTAAACAACTTCAGCACATACACCAGAATACAGTGCTGAACCAATTCAATTATCATTATCATGCACATGGACCACATGATAGTACATTCGACTGTCCCCCGTGAATTCCGCGGCAGAATATCAGAAATTCCGTGCAGAATTCTGCGGCTAAAAACAGTAAATTCTGTGCTAATTCTGCGAATCCTTCTCTATTCTGCGGCAATTCTGCAAGGAAAATGAGCGTAAAAACAGGTTGAATTTTCGCAACCCCACCGAAGTTTGTTGTCCCTATAAATTCTGAACCAAAATTATGCGAAATCCTGGTCGAAAAAATTGAAAGCTCTAAAATATACTGCCAGTTGATTATGAAAGTCACAAGCAGGTAAGTTTGGCTGTGAAAATACATTGAAAGTCTCCAGAAAAAGCAGTTTTTCTCTCTTTTCTGCAATATTCCGCGGGATTTTCTGAATTCAGCGGACGCTACTGGATTCTGCGGAAATTCTGCAATCCGCGGAATCGCGGAATTCACGGGGGCCAGATTCGAGCACAGGTATTCCCGGGGGGGGGGGGGGGGGGGCTTTACATTATTTCACTTGCAAACACATTGCACGTTACATGCACTTTCGATTCCTTCACTGTAGATCTACATAAGAAAAGGAACAAAACAGCCCAGCTGCAGCATGCATTCTTGATCAATAATCTGGCACACCCTGGGTTCAGTCAACCACATGGTACATGTACTGTAGCAACTAAAAGTGCTTATAGCCGAGACACAGGCAGGAAGTGCTATATGTGTGCTTTCTTTTCCATCTCCTTCACGACGAGGAAACTCAATACAAGTGCAGACTGCCTCTTTTACGGCCAAAGAAACACAGTGTATGGTGAAGAAAGTGTCCTAAGGCCGAGTAAAAGAAATAGCTAAGAAATAGGAATGGTAAAGCTACTAAAAGACTGGAACTGTACCCTTTAATTTAAACAACTTCCAGCTAGTATGTGACATACAAGTCAGTTAGGTTCAACACTATGCCAGTGGATGACAGGGCAGTGCCCAACTCCGATGCCAACCAGCCACGTCATGGACAGACGCACCAATGAGATGGTTAGGGATAGTCGGAGGCGAAAGTTAACCACAAGGAAGAACGGAGAAATTGTGTACAGCTACAAACAGGATCCGGAAACACAAGCTTTCGGTCAAAGGGAATGAATTCTACACGAGCATCATTCCCCATACTTCACAGTCTAGCCAGCACCAGCTTTTACACACTGAATGCCGGCATAAGATAGAGTGACCAAATTAGGACAACATCACCAGGCCTGGCAATCAAACAGAAGATTGTTGTCCATAGACTGTTGTCCATATTCAAGAGCCACATGGATCTGTATGCAGTGACCATGACCATGATACTTGATAGGCACTTGGGTACCCATATGTGCACAGAATATGATTGGAAAAACCTCAACCAAGACAGAGGCACTGAAAATCTGTCTCCAGTGGCTTGTTTAAACACGGCTACGAATCCCACCAGACCAAACTCACACAATCCACTACAAACGAGCTGTAAATGGTCAGCGTGCTGTGTTCGAAACGCTGGACCACGTTCCTCGGCAAAGGAAAAGACGGGTGTGCACGTACTCTTAACCAGTTCAGCCGTGTATGGGATGTGACAGTATTGCCTGTGACCGAACAGCTTGCAAGGAACGAGACAATCCCTCTAGTAACTGCATATGGCACATTTCACAAGGCATATCCTTGGCCTGAGAGTACACCATGACGATTGTTCCTTCATTTCTCTGACCAGTTGGGTCCACACTTGAGGTCCATAATCAAGATGGAGAGCAGCCAGCTTGCTCTATAGGAACGCATGCGACAATGTTCAGTAGACGGCATAATCCCGACTCCTGCATGGACAAAAACAAAATGAAAAGCCACAGCAAGTCATAAGCATTTGTTCAGTGTGAGGAATTATTGATCAATGACCGAGTACTGTAGAACGGGTAATTCTAGCTACTATTAATTTTAGCGTTTTCCCATTGTCAACCGGTTAGCGACGTTTTATTTTAGCGATTTGCATTTTTCTTCATTGTACACATTTTGATACTGCATTCTACTACTGTATGTACAAACCATCACTACCGTGTACTATGAGTGCTAGTACGAGAGAACATCATAAAACATGTGCTAACTAGTACCAAGAGTACATAACCCCCCAGAGTGTGCAACGCCTGATGCAGCTCTGCATAGGGTCTTGGTCGAGCAGAATCGGATCTTTGCGTCATAATACCGTACACATCTGAGGGGAACCCGGGGAGTCGCGGGTACTCTTGGATCAAAAACAATGGTGCCCTGCCTCGAGACCGGCCTTGCGCTGGTGTGGAGTGTACGCATGACATCAGAAGATCCGATTCCGCTCGACCAAGACCCTATGCAGAGCTGGATCGGCGTTGCACACTCTGGGGGGTTATGTACTCTTGCTAGTACTACTAAAGTGCTGGCAACTGAAATCCGACCCCCAGGGGGTCGGATTTCAGTTGCCAGCACTGTACTAGTATTACTACTCACGGATCACCAGTGCACTATTAATGTCTCAACGGATTAGCGACTTAAAACTTTAGCGAAAAATGAGTTGATCGCTAAATTCGCTAGGGTTTTTACGTCGCTAAAGTTACCCGTTCTACAGTAATCGGTATAATCGTTTCAGCCCTACTTGTACAGTGCGTATCGGTTATAGCGTGGTCGTGTAAAA